TTCTTCATCGGAATGCTGGTTATACAACATTATGCAAGAATGCAGATATACTTTCAGGTAAACTACCAACATTCGAAGATGATACAGAACTGTCACCAAACGACTTGACATTCTTCAAATATGCTCCTGTCACATCATATGATGTGGAACGAAGCTTTCCAAATACAAAGCTATCCTTGGTGATAATCGGCGATCTTTCAAATTTGAAAATTTGAAAATGCATGTAGTTATAAATTGCAATTGTAACAGTTAAAATTGAGACGTGAATAACTCAGTGAAAATTGAGACGTGAATAGCTTGTGTTCTTTTAAATTGTGTTTTTAGATAACAGAGTTAAGTTAGTGTTCATACCATGTGTACCAGTGTTTGTCTAAAATATGAACGCAAATATCAGTATTAAAAAGAAAACAATGAATGGTTTAATCCAGTACGAAATGTCGAAATTCCATCAGTTTTCTTTCCTTCAGAGACATAATAGGGCTAATTTGGTAAGTAGGACCTACTATCATATATTCATCATCTTTATTCTTAAACTCTAGTAAAAGTTGTAATTAAAATTGTGAAATTTTATGTCCCATTTAATATTTAAGGTCATATTTTACACTTTTTAGGTCATATTTGACATAATTTTGGGTCATAAGTGCATGCATATATTTATAGTTTTTAGGTCATAAAAATCCGGGCCCTAATTATAATAATAAGTTGATCACGTTACGTATTTCTATTAATTGTCTCATATCATGCGTTTTTGAGGGGAATCACATTTTGGTATGCCGTGTTCAGTAATGGATACTTCATGGTGTGCCGCGAGTAGAAAAAGGTTGCGGAACACTGCAGTAAAGTACAGTACAGTCGAGTAAAGTGGTATAAACATAGCAACAGGTTATTAATACGAGCTATACCGTAGAATGGGTAGGTTCCAGACAGACACAAGAGTTGAAATATTTGAAGTCGGCCTAGGAACATGCGTAATTGAATCTCTCATACAAATTTCGTACCAAACTTAATGGGGCGAGCAAAATTTTACCTGAACACGAAAATTCCTACTCTGTACCATTATATCTTTAAACTGTTTACTACATGGGAACAAAAATAATGAATAATTTTAGGCAGAAGAAAATAGATATTTTAATTTACTGAATTTGATTCAACGAATTTCATAGTAACCAAAAGTTACGGAGTTCTCAATTGAGAGAATATTTCTGATTTTAAGCTTTCGCGGTGGTTAAATGTTGATGCTAATTCTGCTCCTAGTTTACAGATCTGTTTCAATGGCTATACATCAACTGTATTACAGACTGGAGATTTTTAAATGAACGTAATCCAACCCGATCGAACCGTTTCTGAGCAGAGAAGATATACACGTACAATGAGGCAAAGTACACATCGACTACGCTCTCTAACCAACAGATGGTTACACGGCCCACGGATAGAATATGTACACGAAACGAATTTCATTGCCATCTATTCGTCAATCATTCGTACTAGCTTGAGTGCATGCCTCATCGTTTTGTCGTCCGAGCTTAAGTTGATGTAGTCAATGATTCCGCGTTTCTTATTGTGATATACTGGAAAGGTACACGTTGTTTAGATCTGTAGCATTTATGTTTTGTTGTGGAATTAAGAGAAGTTCCGTGTAATATCGATGTTGTACGGTGTCTAAAATGTACATTCATCTTCTTGCATACTAATGTGAGGTAAAACTGAGCCATTTGTAATGACGTTCCATGGATGAATGTAGATAACATTCCTGGATATATCGGCTAACAGGATCATATTTTTTGACTTAGCGAAATATTATTTAATGTTGAGAGAAAATGCAGTGTTATTGCTTCGGTCGGGTGTCGTAGAACATCGTGATAGAATTATAAATACAAAATTGTTAAGTTCGTATAATTTATGTGAGAAATGTTATGGCATTTTTTCCGCATTGGGGGTAACGTGTTCTGTCACGTTGCGGACGTCGCGTGCCAGAAGACGGGCTTGGTATGAAACTAGTTTGTCAACTTTGTCAACTTATTACCTCCTTTTTCTCCTTTGGTTTTCAGATGTTCCAGATGTCGAATGCAAAAATAGTGAAAAGTGGGGGCGCAGAGCCCGACCAGCTTGAAAGCCAAATAGCCCAAGCCTTGGTGGAGTTGGAGATGAATAGTGACCTCAAAACACAATTAAGGGAATTAAACTTTACAAGAGCCAGGGAAATTGAGCTTAATGGTAAAAAGGTAATATAAGCCGTAATTTTGGTTCTGTATACTCATTCATATATATAAGTGCAAATTGTTGCTGTGGTCACTGGTTTCACTAACTTCAAGGAGGTGAGCCTTTAATGAAAAGCAACTAGTTGTACAGCTACGTAAGAACGTCCCAACATTTTGTGGAACCGAAAAGTTCATTACCGTGTTCACCAGAACCCTCCACTGGTGCCTATTCTGAACCATATCAGTGCAGTCGATGCCATCCCATACCATACAGGGCGTTCAATCAAGGAGGAAACTTCACACCACCGTTGCGAAAACGAATTCTTGCTGCATAATCTGGTTGTTTCAGCTCGTGCACAACTGCTATTTTATACGGCCGAAATCTGATTAATTGTATGGCCGAAAGCAGATCCTAGTGAAGCCCGGTTTACTGTGCTAAGTGTCGTAATGAGTTTAGAGGACTGATCTGAAGTCGTGCCTCAGTATCCCTAACTTTTTCTTCAGTCAGCGCAATCCTCTACGATTGATTCTTTATGTCACACACTGAACCTGTGGCCTGCCACTTTTTCAAAAGCATGGATACACAAGACTTTGTGGGAACTGGCAAATCAGGATATTTACGAGGAAACTTGTGGATACAGTTTCTGAAAGTTTTTCCCTTGTAAAAGTTTTGACAGTAAACATACACTGATCACTAGTGAACTGAATTTAGTATAAATGTCGACTGCCTATCAACATCTCTAACACAGACTGACTGTTTTTCATTGGGCTCATCCTGTTGTATTATTATATAAAATTCTTTATTGGGATCCGTCTCAACACAACAATGAAACAGTCTAGGTCAACATCACCTTAGCTACATGTTTCAGCTTTTAAAACCATCATCAGGCAAATACATGGTTACAGCACTCACACGCTATTGAACTGCATTTCAATTGACATTAGAGCTAGATACTTGACAACTTACGTTACACTTTAATAACACAAGGTATAAAAATATAAAATTATTATAAAATGAAAGTTATACAGTAAAATATAGTTAAAAATTATTCATGTTATGAAGTCAGTTTTGCAGTCCTGTTGTTATATCCCAGTGGACATATAGCGGTATATTCATGACTTGTACACATATAGTTAACTTCTGGAGGCCCGTGGTATTGATGTAGTATTATTTGATATTACTTTTTTGGCCAGTGCCTTGTTTTACAATGTATTTTGTCTGCTCTGGTTGGAATACAGATTGCAATCCAAGGAAAGAATTTTAGACTGGCTATTAATGCGACTTAACTGCAGTTAGAAAAGTAATCTGTGGGGAGTGTTGGGCCCAGTCAAGCAGTGTTGTGAAGTGTCCTTGACTGAATGCACTGTATATTTTATTATCCACCCACCTATATCTTGGTCATTCTTGTGGTCTCTTTGCTTCTGGCCTTCTCACCAATATCCTATATGTATTCCTCCTCACCTTCAGTCATGCAACATATCCTGCCTATCCCTTCTTGACTTGATCATTCTAATTATAATTGGTGAAGAGTACAAGTTATGGACTGTATTTTCAGTCAATCATCATTAATGTACCAATTCCGCAACTTAAGTCGTTCCAAAAGATACAAACACGGCTGGTGCGTGAACTTGAGAAGAAGTTCTGTGGCAGACATGTTGTATTCATTGGTGAGAGGAAGATTTTGCCAAAACCTACACGCAAGACACGTACAAAGAATAAGCAGAAACGACCAAGAAGGTAAGATGTTTGAAGTTTGTTTACATTATGGTGACCCATTGGATTAGACTAATGACTTCCAATAAAAATTGATTGTAGGTTAAGAAGATTGGATATGTGTTTTATATTAGATGTGGCAAATGTATATCAATTCCAGATTTAGTGACAGTTGTGTTGTAAATATTTATCAAGTTTAGAAGTGCACAATAAAACTTGGGAACACCAAATGGTATTCTCACAATATTAGCTATCCCAATCATCAAACACCTATTGAGTGTTCACTTTGAAGCCATCTGCATTTGATGAAAATTAACTTTCATAATTTACATGTCTATCTACCCATCAGACTATGTGTGAAAGTTGGGGGGGGGGGGGCGAAATATGTGAATGCCATGTTTCATGTTAAATTGAGATAGGAAGTTTATGCTCACATTGTGGTGAGGTGAAGCATATTTTCCTTCCTTTGTGCAATAATTTATAACCATCATTGTGATCATTCCTGTGTAAGTGATATATTTCCTTATGTTTGACACATTTATAGATCCTTACATAGTATTAGAAGAAATTTTAGTTGTGCTGAATACAACAGGGCACCCAACATGGGAAGTCCCGAGACAGTAACATTATATTCTGTGACAACTTCCCTTCATGTGTCTCCTTCCAGTTTCCCACATTTGTTGAGTAGGCCATTTTAATACGAGGAAGTGGGAAAACAAAATAAGGGAAGATAGATGAGTGTGATGCTATCCAACAACAGGGGGTAGCTGCTGCACAGAACAGTATGTGTCTGTCAGTGACATAGTTCTATCATCTTTAGAAAGTTACTACGGTCTGTTTGAAACGTACTTTGGTATTCACATGTTATAGGAAATAGTTCTGTCATCGTTAGAAGGTTACTACATTCAGTTTGAAATGTACTTTGGTGTTCACATGCTAATGGGAAGTGTGATGTGTCTTCTAAAGTATGTACTCAAATGTGGACGGCATTTTCATATTTTGATCTGGATTAACTGTAACTGAATTAGTGAGGGTTTACATTACTTAAGTTTTCTTTAAGGTAGCTGTTATTTCCCAGTAAATTTACATATTCCCAGATACACAATCAGATACAACACCACATCAGTAGAGGCAACAAAACTACATCCCAACAAGAAACCAGGAAACAGCACCATACACAAAACTCAAGTGTGTGAAAGCTAACTAATATAGAACAACAAATAAGAACATGACCAGCAAGTCTACCGCAGAATGTCTAAAGCACAAACCGCCAATATAAGATGGCACAGGACCATCAGTACCAACAATGTATACTCATGTAACATCAACATTTACACTAAAGGGTAAACAAATTTGAAATGTCTCATTTCACCAAAAATGACAACACATTCAGCCATTAGCACCAGCAGTTCCCACCTATATAATGCTCATCCCCACGCGCGCACACATTGCCACTACTACATTCCACCTTAAAGACTGAAAGTAAACCCGTGGATTATGAAATGGCGGGTTCTATTTCGAATGATTGGATTTATTAGCACTTGGTTACAACTTCTCTCAGTTACAGTCAGTACAGCGCTGTTGCTGATTACACACTTCATAATCCACTGTTACACACACACACACCAGTCCTCTCCTGGTAATGGATCTCAGCACAGAAACTATAAGAGTCTCCCTAAGTCACATTCATGGTCATCACACAACAAACTTCCCATGGCTGTCTCCTATCAAGAACTCAACTGAACACAACTGCACGTAAGAACTCTGTCACTTAAACACTGAAACTTGTTATGTCTGGAATCTCGTTATATAGCCTCCGCACTGACCAGGCACAGAAAGCATAGCCTTTGTTGTTGTAGAGTGTTTACCATGATGTTTCACAGCAACTGTCATGGAGCACACCACATAGAAAATGCCATACTTCTATTGACCTTGCATATATTCGGTCACTAGATTGCCGTGGTAGCGAATACTATTAGAAATAGGGCATAATCTGCTGTACTGAGCCTGGATTGACAAGAGGCCTTGTATATATTGTACATAGAAATAGGAATTAAGATTAAATTTGTAAATATATGTAAATACTGACAATGGACTTACTAATACGGACTATGACTGACAAATGACAGATCTGACTTCTCGTCAGAGATGTTGCCCCAAATGGACAGGACCCTGGGGCTCGACAACAAGACAGACAGAGAGACTGACCGTCAGTCACAATGTGACTTTGACTATGACTTAATGGTCAGTTACCTAGCAACGCTCAGGCCATCTACATTACACTTACTTACTTACTTACTTACATACTTACTTACTTACTTACTCATTAAGCTGAGCCCTTCCGGAGGAGCCACCAATTCTGCAACTACTCAAAAATTTCCCAGCATTTTATGGAACCCAAAGGTTCATTACCGTGTTCACAAGAGCCCTCCACTGGTCCCTATCCTGAGCCAGATCTATCCATTCCATAACATCCCATCCTATCTCTCTAAGATCCATTTTAATATTGTACACCTACCTACACCTTGGTCTTCCCAGTGGTCTCTTTCCTTCTGGCTTTCCCACCAATATCCTATATGCATTCCTCATCTCCCCCATTCGTGCTACATGCCTTGCCCACCTCATCCTCCTTGACTTGAACATTCTAATTATACATGGAGAAGAGTACAAGTTATGAAGCTCCTCATTATGCAGTTTTCTCCAACCTCTGTCACTTCATCTCTCTTCGTTCCAAATATTCTCCTCAACACTATGTTCTCAAACACCCTCAGTCTATGTTCCTCCCTTAATGTCAGAGGCCAAGTTTCACACCCATACAGAACCCCAGACAAAATTATAGTTTTGTATATTCTAATTTTTATGTTTTTGGACAACAGACGGAGAAGACAAAAGGTTCTGGACTGAATGGTACCAAGCATTACCCGAGTTCAGTCTCCTCTTAATTTCCTTCTGAATCAGGTTTTGATCTATATTAGGGTTAATTTCACCAACCACACAACACATTTTTATTATTGTCACGCTATATGTTTCAACCTCAAGAGGTCATCCTCAGGTGTATGAACACAGTTGCACAATCACACACAATCACATTTGTTTTCCACTTATTTCGATCCTGTATCCTGTTCAGGCCTACGCTCAATAATATACAAGGGGGTACCCAAAAGAAACGGAACTCTTTTTTTTAACTAATTTATTCAAATTTTAAGCACAAACCTTCAATCCCCTTCAAAGTACTCTCCACTTACACTAATACACTTGTCTAGTCTTTATTCCATTTCTCAAAACATTGTCTAAATTCATCTTTTGAGATGCTTGACAGCGCCTCCGTCATTTTTTCCTTCACCTCAGCAACATCAGCAAAACGCTTTCCTTTCATGTCTCTTTTCATTTGAGGAAACAAAAAAAAGTTTTGATCATTTCGGGACTCTTCTTTCAAAGCACAGCATGCTTCCATGCGACCTTGTTTTTGTTCAGCAGTCAGCAGTGGTGGCACGAATTTCGCAGCCACCCTTTTCATTCCCAAATCTTCTGTCAAAATTCGCTGAACTGAGCTCCAAGTCACTCCCGACAGCTCCACAATTTCTTCAATGGTCCGTCGTCGATCTTCCTTGATGATTTCACGAATTTTTTCAACATTTTCGTGTGTTCGGGCGGTGGAAGGACGACCAGAACGAGGTTTGTCATCAATTGACATTTCACCATTTTTGAAAGGGGAAAACCACCCAAACACTTGAGTTTTCCCCATAGCATCGTCCTTGTACGCCATTTTTAACATTTCAAGAGTTTCTGTTCCACTTTTCCCTAGCAAAAAACAGAATTTCACTGCCGCACGCTGTTCACGAAAATCAGCCATTGCAAAAACGACGATCACACAAAACAGTTGTCACTATAAACACTGCCGAAACTAGTCCTTATATTCTGAAGCAATGGTAGTCGGCTTATCGACTCAGGAATGTTAGCTCTATGCGCTCATAGCGGCAAAACGCGGTACTACAAAAGCTCTGCCCACAAAAAAATTAGTTCGGTTTCTTTTGGGTACCCCATACCTTTTGGGTATGTCAAGTTCTTATAAAATACACTTTAAAATACTATTCAAATGTTAAAAGTTTAAATTTTAACTTTTAACATTTGAATAGTATTTTAACTTGTATTTTATAAGAAGAACTTGACATATATTATTGAGCGTAAGCCTGAACAGGATGCAGGATCGAAATAAGTGGAAAACGAATGTGATTGCGTGTGATTGTGCAGCTGTGTTCGTACACCTGAGGATGACCTGTTGAGGTCGAAACATGTAGTGTGACAATAATAAAAACGTGTTGTGAGGTCAGTGAAATTAACCCTAATATTGATTAAATACACAACAGGAAGCAAGAAACAATTAAACAGGTTTTGATCTGTTATCGTTGTTCCCAAATATCTGAATTGTGCCACATTTTCAAAACATCTGTTTCATATCTTTATATCATGATTCTGCCATGCATTTTGGCGAAAAGACAGCAATATATACTTAGTTTTCTCAGTGTTTACTTCCAGACCAATCTCTTTACTTGTGTCAATTAAAGTTTGTTTGTTTTTCTTTATGGTATCTACATTATCACCCAGTAGATTCACATCATCGGCATAGGACAACAGCTGATGTGTCCCATTTAATTTCAGTCCCACCTGGCTTCCCTTATCACCCATTAGATTCACATCATCGGCATATGTCAACAGCTGATGTGTCCCGTTTAATTTCAGTCCCACCTGGCTTCCCTGGACCTTCCTAATGGCATATTCTAAAGCAAAATTGACAAGGAGTGGCAATAAATCATCTACTTGTTTTAGACCATTCTGGACATGAAATTTATCAGACAAATGTTTACCTACACGGACACTATAGTTGATTAATAATTAATGAAAGAAGTAAACAATGTGTGCGCTCAGTTCCATCTGTGTGGTGGTATTTTTCTCAGCAAATGGTGCAGCACTTTCATGGGAAGTTGCCTAAGGTAAAATCAGTGTTCGATCGGCCTGCATTCTGG